GAGAATCGAGAGAGAAAGAGAGAGAGAGAAAGAGAGAGAGAGAGAATAAAAAATACTAATATTCTTTATTTGTGTTTCCCTTTAAGACCATAATGTATTTTTGTTCTTTTTTTTTTTTTTGACGGGGTTTTTTTCTTTTTTTTTTTTTTTTTCTTTTTTTTTTTTTTTTAAGATGAAATAACAGTAATTTGCACGTTGCAAACGGCACAAGATGCCGTTTGTGACTCAAACTTGCCACTAAAAATTATATTACTTTCAATTTACATGAGCGCACTCCTACCAACATAGTTAATCCCATTAACGCTCGGCGAAAATAGATCAAAATAATATATATATAATAATATATAATAATATATAATAATAATATATATATATATATATTATAAAATTATTCTGTTTTATTTGAATAACAAACGAGCGTTAATGGATCGCGGAAGAATCTCGCGTGCAAGGAAACGTGGTGGTGCACTCACCGCAATATATCTAAGACGTACAATTGCTACGCCGTGATGCACTCTAAGCAACAGAGATCTTAGAGTGAAAAAAACCAGGTACTAAAAGTAATATCTAACCCTTATGTGTGTGTGTGTGTGTATGTGTGTGTATAAAGCATCGTTCTGTGCGATGCGCTTTAAATTTTATCGAAAACCTACCAGATATACCAAAAATATCACTCTAAGTAAAGGCCATACATCTTGATTTAAAGTTGTTACTCTTAAACTTTTAAACGTAGCACGATAAATCAATTCCACAACATTGAAATACGTTATCACAATTTTCAGGAAAGATTGTGATCATTAACAACCAGACAAATATAGAATGTTATGCCAAATATTACACAAAAACTTTTCCATCTACGTCGTATAGAAAGTCGTATAAAGCTTGAGATTTAGTTACTCGATGAAGATAATTTATGTTCACACGCGCAAGCTCTTAATCGATCGTTCTAAGAGAGAGTTTTATGTGGACAGAACACATTGTTCAGTTGATTTACGAGGACCCGTAAATCCCGAACTCACACCCAGAATTTCGATGAAGTCACCCCGCTGACCTACGTAAACCAAGCAATACATTTCCGAGTGACGAAGCGCCGTATCATTGAAGAATATTCGTTCCTTGCTCGAATGCGGTTCACCAGGAACTGACGATGGCTTATCTGACACATTAACAAGAGATGCGTGTGAACAGCAACAACGGATATTAAAAGAAACAAATCAAACAACGTAACAACAAAACTGAAAAACATACTGCGGCTAACGTATTCGTAAACGATGTAGTCATCTAAACTGGAGAAATCGTTTGTGAAGAGACCTATCCAATCACCATTGCTCGGTGCAAAATCTTTCTGCATGTTGAACGATATAACATTATCTTCCATTATACAATCTTGAAATTCCACGGTGCAATCTTTTACATTAGGTCTGACCTAAAAAAAAACAAAGTGTCGTCTCTATTACACATAGTTAAGTAACAAAGAGACAAATATATAAAGTGAAAGAATCTATTTTTACCGTAATCTCGAATTCTCCGGTCACAGGTTTGTGGTCCGAGACGCTATAGTTGGGATGGCTCTTATAAGACTGTTGTTCTGCGTTAAGCTCTATGTCGTCATACATATCTATCGCATTGATTTTGTACAAAATTCTATCAGTCCAAGACGGTCTACGCCTGCAAAAATGATAATTAAGCAAAGAACGAATTAACTATAGCGAGTAAGAATTCTACACTCACTTGAGATCAAAATCTTGGGACTCGAACTCGTATTTGTAAGTAGGCGGGAATGAGACATTACTTTCGTTTAACTCCGCAAAAGCTTGACGTGTCTTCATCACCAATTTCAATTGGTCTCTTTCGAACAGCTCTTTTAGTCGATTTTTTTTAACCAATATATCTATGTCAGTTGCCGTTAAGTCTTCTCCGTTGAGTCGAAAGTTTAAGTCACCAATCCAAAATATATAACTGGCAAAACAATATGTTTCATCATCGTTACCGAAATAAATAAATCAGTTTGTACTCTTAAATGTTCGCTTGAAAATATTCGTACTCGTGATATAATATCTTCGATGTATCTGGAGCGGTAAAAGTGTGATCTGTTATAATAGTATTGTAATCCGAGATCCTATCTGCGAGCAAGTGGTCATGGGGCGTTAAATGTGTGTTCACCACGCAAATACTGACTCCGTAGGCATTCATTCTTACGCTCACCGCGCCTTTGTTTCCCTAAAACAAGACGTCGTCACTGACAGAAACAGTAATTTCTATCGCTTAAGCGTGTCGCTTTCTTACCCACATGCCACCGAAACCTGTCTTAGTATATTGAGCTTCTATTAATCTTAAATGCGTCAAATGTTTCCTCAGACAGAACGCATTTAAAACCAGACCCTGTAACCTTTGAGAGCGTATTTTAACATAATCATATTTCTTCAGAACGTCTCTGCAAGAATATTGAATAATCAATATTCAACAATTGTTCTTCTCAGGTGTGTGTTTACATATTCATAATGTAACGTGTTTACATAATTATAGAGAGTTTTAATTTTTTTTTAATAATAAGGATTGTCTACCTGAAAGCTTTTGTCCAAGGATCTTCAAACAGTATATAGTCCAACACTATATTCTGTGGCTGTGATTTAACTTCCTGCAAACTAGAAAAAAACACAATACTTTATTTAGAACATTATCAAATGTGTATAGAGAGAAGATAATATTGTACATACCCGACAAAATATATATCCGGCCACGAAGTTGGTTCCCAGTACGGCGTAATGCCCAGAAGCTGTTGAAGGCTTTGCCTGGGATCTGGGAACTTGGTGGCTACGTTGTACGTGATGAAGTACAATCTTCGCAGCAGAAAAAAAAAAAATAAAATTTACTCCTTGCAAGTTATTAGATTTAGCGGATTTTATAACTTACACACACACATATGTATACAGGGGAGAGGAGAAAGTAGCTTCTTTCGGGCAATTTTTGATTTACCTGAGTCGTTCCACCGATTGCGCCATTTTTGCCTCGACGAGGTTGTTACGCGGAAGAAATTTACGCGATTCGCGTAGCGAGGTCGAACGAGGTGTTTAAGTCGCGGTAATTCCGCACGGTGCTGAACGACAGCAGCACATCGCTCTCCCCAGGTTAGAAAACAGGATTCTCGTTGGTGATTCGCGCGCCACGAAGAATTCACATTTGCGTTGATACTTTCACCCGGTGTAGAGTCGGCCGCGAGGAAACTGACGTTCCGCCAACGAAACTCGTTGTTTTAATGCCGCGACGAGCATCTGGACGTAAGCGTTTGTTTCGCTCTCACAGCAGAGCCATATTGTTGACAGGTGAGCTCGCTCGGGGGGAGTAGGAACGCGCGATTCTCTCTCTCTCTCTCTCTCTTTCTTTCTCTTTGGCTCCCTCTGCAGTCCGATCGCGCCACGTGACGTCAAAACGTGCGCGTCCTGTCAGTCACACATGACCGCGGTCGCACGCGATCGAGCGATCGATGATGGTGCGATTTTTCTTTCTCGTCGAATTTTTTTCTCGTCACGGTGAAGGAAAATGTCCGCGAAAAGATGGAGGTTAGTACGCAAAGCTCGTGCGCTACGTCATCTGATCGTCAGCTGATAATGACAGATTCTTTCTTCGTCGAGTCTTTTCGTGACGGAAATTCAAAAACTTACATGGCGAACAAGTGAGTGAGTCTTAATTTTCAATTGCTCAAAAATAACAACAAACATAAAACAATTGACACGAAATACAATTTGTTTCGGACGTGTCGTTGGAAAAAAATAAAACAACGCGAGTATCGAAGAGAATTCTTATAAAAAAAAATTTATTACATATACGTTTATTATTCGCACACACCTTAGCTAGCGCGTCTTCCGCGTCAGTTACACACATTCATTGTTTTTTTTTTTTTATAATAATTATAATTGCATATGCGTATTATTTCTCTCGAAATTCATACACGCACACATACGCGCGTTTCCGCTTTCTCTCTCTCTCTCTTTCTTTTTCTTTTTAATAATTATCTTATTCTTGTTACAAAAACAGTTAATAGGATTCAGTATTTTTCCTGAATTCGTAAGGTCTCTCGACGACGATTATTTACATAACAACGAGAGAGAACAATCTCTCGTCACAAAGCTGTAATCTAAGTACAAAATTGAGCCCTGTCGTATATAAGAAATATCGACGCGACGAGACTTGCGCGACGAGATTTCAGTTCGCGCTCAGTACATCATTCCGGGATGAGCTCTCTGGAAGAACACGTTGGGGTTGGCCGACAGGGTCGTGTACAGATTCCCGGTGTCCTCCGGCCTCAAATACATACCGGGCGGCAACACGAACGTCTCCATTGGTCCGTGCATATCTGGAAGCAAAGAGAAAACGTGTAAAATTGTCTCGCAATTTTCGACGCGCGCGCGCGAGCAACAATCAATTCTCGCGTAATAAACGAAGTAACGGTCGGGCGCGAAACTAGAACGAACTGTACACATCCCGTCGCCGCGATTATCCTCACGGATTTACGCGCATCGGAAGCGGTTCGTTATCGATCGGACGGGCGCGCGTGTCCGGTCGTAACTTCTAGCGCGAGCATCCGCGCGCGCGCGCGTCTCGCGTGCGTTTATTTTCTCTTCTCGATAATAAATGATAGTGTCTGTATCAAAGTATCGCTCATCGAAGTCGCAAAACCGGGACGGAGCGTCCTCGTTACTAACCACCGCTCGCTTTAAGCGTGACTGCAATTTACGACTCTCGAAGTAGGTCCCGTCGTGCGCGCGCGCGCAACTCGTCATCGCACGGGAGGCGATTATTAAGCGAGCGCATATTCGCGTGCGCGCTAATCGATAATTAAACAGCGCGCTCCCGCAACGAAACCGGTGATCGGTTAAAAGTGTCAGACAGTAAATTCACGAAGATGTCGTTTTCTTTGTACGCACTTGTGGCGTGTTACGATTTTTTTTTGTTCCGCGGTCGTTGACAACACGCGAAGGAACTTCTTGTCACACGAAGCAAAGGGGACAAGTTGTGTCTCGCGTGTTATAATAAGCGTCGGTGAACGAGCAAGTTCTCTCTCTCTCTTTCTCTCTCTCTCTCTCTCTCTCTTCCTCCCGATCACGGCGAGAGGCTAGCGACCTTTGCCTCTCGATAATTTCTTGCATATTTCACGGCTCTCGTAATAATGGACTTTGATGTCGTAAAGAAATGTGTCGCCGCGAAGCTCCCGCGCGACGTAAGAAACTTCGTTTTTGTTCCCTTATTTATACGAGAAACACGGGAAGAGAAAAGAGAGTGCGTTGCCGAATTGTTCGAGAGCGCAAAAGCGCGGCGTGATTTCTGCGCACGAGATTTCTTCGAATCTCGTTCGCGACGCACCAAGTGCGCGAGTTGTTCACCGAATAGACAGATGCGCGCGTGTCTTAAACGTAAAACGCGTACTTAAACGCTCGTGTGGGTGAAAGTCATCCGTCTGCGATTTACGATCGCCGCATGATCTGCGTTTTGCGAACACACACGCCGATCCGCGCGAGAGAAACAATCGTCACGTATCGCGCGCGATCGGGGGTCTCCATTTGAGCGCGCGACGATAAATATCCCGTCTCTATCCTCTCTTGACTCTAGAAAAAAAAAAAAAAAATAAAAGAAAGAAAAAATTCACTCTCTCTCTTCGAATTTGTTTTACAACACGACGAGCAACAGTGATGTATAACGAACCGCGTAACGCAATAGGTACCACGGCTCTGGCCTCGTTACAATAGCGCGCGCGTTCCCTCCGAATAGAGCTGAATAGGATCTAGAAACTCGCTAATGTACGCGCGCGCTTTTCCATTATTTGTCTCTAGAAAGTGTGAAACTCCCGCTTACATTGTTGTTGTTTCTCTCCAAAAAGGAAATATTTTCAGAATCCTCGCGCGCGAGGGTCCTCGAGAAAACTCGACTCGAGGAAACTCGTGACTCGCGCGACGTTCGCGCGCGAGATATTTCACGTCGTTTTACCGACGTACGGAAAAAGAAATTTATGCGCGAAATTTTTGTTCGTCTTTTTTTGTTCGACAAATTTTTGTCACCGTCGTCGTTTCACGACGAGAGGCATGGTCCACCAGCCTAACGGGATTTATTCTCTTCGCGCGCCCGCCTCTCCCCTTTCTCCTCCCACATCATCTCGACGAAGCAAGAAGCGATTGACCTCCGCCTCGGACTTTCTCCCTCTCCGGCCTTTATCCCGCCGCCGCGCCCCGCCGCTTTTCCTCCCTTTCGTTCGCACCTCGAGGTGAAGGTCGCCGAGGGCGTCAGCGTGTGACGAGGAAAAAGTTTTCGGGCCAGGAAACGCGCGCAGACAGGCAGGTATATACAGGAAGCGTCGAGATTTCGTCGGACGATACACGTGTACGATACCCTCTTCTTCCGTATGTATGTGTGTGTGTGTGTGTGTGTGTGTGTGTGTGTGTGTGTGTGTGTGTGTGTGTGTGTGTGTGTGTGTGTGTGTGCAAACGCGAATATTTCGCGACGCAGAAATATTTTCTGATTTTCATTTTTGCGTCGTTGTTACGCGTGTTGTGTAATTAATTATACATTCTGTAATTAAACACACAGAAGGCGAAATATAACACGAATTTATTCAATTGCGGCAATAACAGCCGATCGTTCGACACTCTGCATTATCTTTCTTATTTTAGCGTCAATCTTATATTATATCCCGCCGTTCGGTCGATCGGTGCGGATTGATGCGCTTGTGTCGCCAACTTCGTCACGGCTGTCCAGCGCCTTTGCGTGACGCTCGAAGGACACGGACAGCGTACCGTAACCGAGAAAAATGCACGTTCCAAGGCACCTCATATGTGTGCATATACGCGGCGGGGTCTTTGCGCCCGGGATCGCAGTTTTGCATAGGGCACGTAATCGGCCCCGACTGATTTCTAAAAATAAATAATGACCGGCTTACCGTCCGAGTATATGGGACTTCCTCCGTGCCTGCAGGCGCTGCATCCGGGTATCCCGGACGAGACCAGTGCGACTCGATCTGTAATTAGAAGTTTTTCCACGTCATGATGATCTATTTCTCTTTCTCTCGGCGAAGAAAACGCGAAATTGCGCGAATTACGCGCCGCCATTTTTTTTTTTTTTTTTTACCGGGGCGCGCGCGATTATTAATTCGCGCGCGCGGTCGATTTCAATTTTCCGTTCATTCGCGCGAAGAGACGAGATCCTCTTCTTCTACGACCAACAAGATCGCGGGGCGCAACATAGTCGATGTTTAAAATGCCAATAACACGCGCGTATCGGCGCTTATCGGCGCGATGACGACGCGCAATTATCCATTGATTGCGGACATTTCCGTATCATTGAGCGTCAGGATTGTTGTTGTTGCTCTGTTTTCAAAAAAAAAAAAAAAAAAAAAAACAACAACAACGCGGACACATTACTACCGTGTGTGTTTGTGCGAGCGCGTCCCATTTATTGTTTACTTTCTCGTTTATTCGTTTATTCACGTTTCACGCGCCGGCGATTTCGTCGGTCGTGACCGCGTTTCCGTCATTCGGCGCGATTACGCTGTCCGCGCGCGAGTTTTTTTTTTTTTTTTTTTTTTAGTGGGAATCGCGCGATATGACCACGATGAAGATCTTTCCTGCGGGGGGTAGATAGGTACAATGAGAGAACAAGCGAATCGGAACCACACAACAGTTGCGCGACGCGCACGCGCGCTCGCGAAGAGAAACTCGAATATTCCGTAAACAGAAAGATCTTATGCGTCCCGCGAGATCTTATCTGTTCCTTGCGAATCTTTTCTCTTTAATGTGCTACGTAAAACGATGATGATGATGATGACGATGATGATGCTGTTTCGAAAAGAGAGATAGAGAGGGATGGAGGGAGAAAGAGAGTTTAACGGCCTTACCCGCACTGTGGTAATGCATCTTCCTCTTCAAGGACGTTTCCGCGGGCTTGAAGTGGAAGAACGAGGGCGAGTAACCGCTGCCGGGGAGGGAGCTGAGGGCGTCGTCGCGGTCGCGGATGACGGCGGCCGGTCCCTCGCGACCCAGAGCGGCCAGTTGGCGTCCCTTCGGTAGGAACATCGTGAGGAAGACGAAGAGCGACGTGGCCAGCAGCCCGTAGGCGAGCCAGGCCTCCCGATCGCTGTCGCTGCCGGCCGCGAACGAACCGATCCCGCTGGAGATCCAGATCGGGAGCGAGAGACCCACCGCCAGCCCGATGAAGGCCGCCTCTCGGTTATTGTCGCGCACACCGCGCGCTCGTACGGCTAAACAGGTCACTGCCACCAGTAACGCTCCGGGATAGCTGAAATTTGAAAACGAATGTGAAAAGAGCGAAACTGAACTTCGTTCGCAGCTGTTGGTTCTTTTTCTTGTCCGAGTTTCGCGTCTCTCGAAATCAATTCGGATTTTAATTTAACAGACAAAATTAATGGATTACTCGATTTATCAAATTAGATTTTCTTCGCGAAAGACCGCAATATCGTTCACGCGCGCGTTATCGATGACAACGCGCGCCGTCGACTTTTGTCCGAAGAGATTGCTGTGGTAATATAATCGATTTGACTCGGGGTTGCGATGAAGGGAGAGGGTTCGCGCGAAAGTTTACCCGAGGGAAGCCACTATCTGTCCGAGCGGAGTCTTGCAGGAGATGGTGGACGCCGGTGAGCTTTGGCCCGCGCCTTGCTGTTGTTGTTGTTGCTGCTGTTGCTGCTGCTGCTGCTGCTGCTGCTGCACCTGGATCACCGCAGGTGGTTCGCCGTAAAACCATTGCCCGACAATGGCCACCTGCACCAGCACCGCGAACACCAGCACCAGCGCCTGCAGCAGCAAAACCGAGACAAGTAAGAGCCTCTGCGAACGATTATTTCCCCTCTGGAGGAAGATCCACGCGGCCGTCTACCCCGTGTCGATCGCTTTAATTAAAGGTGAACGTCCCGCGGTGACACATCGGTGTGGCCGTAGCGTGGGTTCGTTTTTCTTCTGACGTCAAACGCGCGCCGCGTTTATGACGTTATGAACTTACATTGTTACAACGCGCGGAATAGTCTACGAACAGGAAGAGAGAGAGAGAGAGAGAGAGAGAGAAAAAAAAGAACACATGAAACGCACAGCGCGGCACGAAAGATCGGCAAAACGAATTTCTCTGTTTATAAATTACCGTTTAAAAAAAAAAAAACATTTAAAAAACAGAATTACGTAAAAATCACGCAAAGAGACGCGTAATTGCAATCTCCGATGCGAATTCGTGTCATCAAATTTCTATTAAAGTCACTCGCACGTCACCTCGGGGACTGGCCGGCAACTCTTACCTCCGACTAAGCATCAGAATGACAGAGTTCTTAATTGCACGTGCGCGTAATTATATCTCGGACGCGGCTTTTCTCGCGGCGGGCGATCGTTCCGATTTCGTTTTCTGCGCTTCCCGGCGAAAGAGACTCCGGGAGAGAGAGAGAGAGAGAGAGGGAGAGAGAGAGAGAGAAGGATCTCTCGCGATAAGAGCGGATCCCGTCGAGTTCGACATGTCGGGGGGGGGGGGGGGGGAGGAGGAGAAGGCACACAGAGGCGGCGGGAGCACGTCGAACGTGAAAAATGGATGTTTATCCTGGGGAGGAGATCGCGCGCAGCGGGGCGAGAAGCTCTCGTCCTGCCACGCCTGTCATTCAGCGCGCGCGCACCAACACAAAGCCGCGATAATTGCCTCGATGGTTTTTCGCGCGCGCGCGTGTAATTAATCGTCGTAGGTACGTGTACGGTACGATGACGCAACTCATGGGGGAAAAGGGAAGTCCAAGGGGGTGACGGCGAAAGGAGGGAGGTAAAGGGAAGAACGTTCACAAGAGAGGGAGAAAGAGAGAGACCTGTTCGCGACGTATAAATGGCCGTGCGAGATGAACATCCGGATCGGCGCGACGTGGCGTGGCGAGGCGGAAGAATAATCGCGAGACGATCGCGTCCGTCGTCGCGAGTTAAAAAGAGACGAATAAAACGATATCACAATTATCATTTCCACATGTACCAATGTCTACTCTGATTAGTCGTGTAGATCTTATCAACGTTCACTCTACCGGACATCTTGAAATTATCTCTCGCTGCTCCTTCAACCGATCTAAGATTTATCTTTTTTTTTTTGGTTTTTAAATATTCTTATCTATCTGTTAAATGTTTTGGCAGATGTGAGTGTGTGTGTCTCGAGTGAATATTTTATCGAGACAAACATCCGGATGAACGAATGAAAAATAAATTGACAAAAGAAATTACGAGAGAGAGAGAACGGAATGAAAGTTAATAAACAAATTTATTCCGCGAGACACATTTGGCGGATAAATTATTAACATTACACATCGCAAACACAAGTGTGCTCACCTGATAAGGCGCCGGAAGATATACGCCGCTGTTCAGCGACAGCAGAAAGACGCATTTAACCAGCAGAGCGGCGAACACGAGGGCGGCCGGCAGACCCACCAACCGGAAAGCTGCGCATGACAGCGGATTTTGGCTGAGGGAAGCCGCGGCCGAGAGACCGGCCAGGAGGAACAGGCCCAAAAGCAGTGCCTGGCCCAGAAACAAGTGTCGTCTGTTAGGCGCTGTTGTTCTGGCCTGAAACACACAAAGTTAACATCAAAAAAAGAAGGTGCGTAAAATTATTCACTTCGATATCGTGATGTTATAAAAGAAGATAAGATATTTAATGCAATATCTAACGTAGCTCTTCAATTGCGGTTGGCTATTTCGATTACTTTTGTAAAATACTTAATTAAGTACTCGTTAGAATAGCATTTTAGGCGATATGTTTGCTCGGAGTACGAAGTGCACTTTCGTCGACTCGTTCCGCGCGATAATTTGGCGCATTTGATGTTGTTGTAAAAGCAAACGAGCATTCGTGCACAGATCTGTTTGCACATTGTCTTCATTTCATTAACTCCACAAAGAGATTCGAAACATTAGATGCTAACCGCATGCAAATGGACCATAAGCGCTCTCGCGTGACGTAATTATCTAGAGTTCGTTTGCGATGAGAGCCACAACCTCGATATACTTCTTTAATTAAGATAATCAATACTTGCTTAATTAAGATAATTGCGCCTTATACGCGTGAAATTTCATTAAGTCTGTGTTTAAATTCCGATAATATTTTGCAAAATATATGAGGTTTTCACAATTTGCAAATTTTTCGATCACGCTGCCCAGGTATACAATCTCGGTCTTTTAATCGGATTCTATTTGTTTTAGTTATATTCAATTTATGCTTTCCACAAAGTCCTTAATTCCCGATCTAATCAATCCGACGGCGAACGATGTGAGAGACTATTTCGTCTCTCTGTCTCTCTCTCTCTCTCTCTCCATATCTCTCAGCCTTTCTCATCGAGATAGCTGTTCAATGGAGCGTGTCGGAGGGTGCGACCGGGAGAAACTGAGGCCGTGTAGTTATACAGACGCGAGCGCAAACTGGGCCTAGGTCTCGGCGAAATTCCCTCGTCTGCTGTTGGTTACTGGAGCTTGTCGAACGAAAACGATTAATAGTGGGTCGACGGGTATGTATGTATACAGGGAGAGACGCGCGCGCGATATAGACGAGTTCTTTTCCGAGCTCTATTAATTCCGCGGTCGGTCGTGGTTGCAGTCGACCGAGCGACAAGTCCGTTCGATGTTTACGCGTTCCATTTCACTCGGGAAGAACAGCTGTTTCCTTCTTCTCCTTCTCCGCGAGACGAAACTTGAACGCATAATTCCGTGCGATCGACGCGGAAAAGTGAAACCAGGACTGTGCCGCGCGTGAAAGAGAGAGAGAGAGAGAGAGAGACCGAATGTGTGACAGAGCGTTTTGTTACGTGGAATATCAAATATTGCTTGAGTAATATTGATGTAGCCAATAAAACTCATGTGTCTCGAGATGAATCTAAGATGACGATGTCAAATATAATATCGGACTAGGAATACCGGTTTATATAAATGAGAAGATACAGGAAAAATAACTTATGAAACGTAAATATGTGGAGATACAGCGATAGATCGATAGGGATAGATTCGCGCATTAGAATTTTGTGCGATAGAGCTCGGGTAGACCCACCTTGAACAAGACGAAGACCTCGAACCCGGCCATGAGGAGCATCGCCGCGGCGCTGAGCGCGGCGAGCGGCAGCGCCCAGGGTCGTTGCTTGAGCAGGGACTTGGGGGTCGGTCGCATCTCCACCTCCTGGCTCTTTTTGACGCCCGGGGGCGTTCTGAAAACGGTAATTGTCCGGTTCGGCGCGGGCACGCTGATGACGCTCGCCACGCTCGCCAGACCGTGCCCGATCTCGGACGGCACCAGGAAAAACTCCGTCGAGAGCTCGTAGTCCCGAGAGCGCGGGGCCCGCGCCGTGATTCCGCTTGCCGGGCCCAGCCAGCCGGCCATGGCCGTCGCCCATGACAGGATAATCGGGACCAGCTTCATCGCGACATCAACATCAGAGGAGCTGTCTTTGATCTCTCTCGGCTACGCGTACGTAGTGAATTCGTGCGTGCGCGTGCTCGCGTGCGTGTGGTATCCACGTGATCGTCGTCACCGGGACATCACGCATCGTCTCCTGCGTGCGCGCATTCTTGCAGTCACGCACATGCTCGCGGCGTCGTCGTCGTCGTCGTCGGTCAAGGTTCACCGGCTGCGTCTGTAATCATACCCGCGATTATTAAAGGATACCCGGCTGTGGATACTTGATTTTTTTTAACCTTTTAAAGGACGTAAATGTAAATCGCGCAATATCTTCAAAAATCTTACAATCTGTTTAATTCAATTCGCCTTTGAAATACAAGTTTTCTGGAATTTTTTCCAAGTAGAAGCTGAAGAGCGAGCTAGCTGTAAAAAAAAAAAACTTAATTTCCTGCGTTCTTCGTGCATTTGGGAATTTTTTTTTTTAATCTGATAGAGATCTCGTTAGGATCGCGATTAATAATTTATGATCCTGTATTCCGTTTGTTCGCGTGTCAAACTCGCTCGGGTAATAGTTCGGGTGCGTGTGCATGTATATGACTTTCGAATATTTTCAATCACATCGTCTCGCTGCACATTGAGGCTATAGAAGGAAGACTCGTCGCCACCCGATGGGTGGACTCGAGAATTTCCGATCGTGTGTGTATGTGTGCCTCATGACTCGTCGCGATTTATCAAAAGGTTGTTCCGGGTCTCTCGGGTCGCGCGACCGGGGACCGTGTATACAATAACGTAATATCCCGGCCGAGTCACGAGCGAAAGGAAAAAGATCGATGGATCGTCGTGTTAATGATCAATTAGGGACTGTTTCTTCTCTCTCTCTCTCTCTCTCTCTCTCTCTCTCTTTTTCTCTCCCTCTCTTTCTTTTTCTCTCTCTGGTCTGCCGCGCCCGATGGGTGGGCAAATCCCTTCTCCCGCGAGCGATCTGCATGCGCGCTAACGCCGTTAATTACACCGACGCCGTTAATTACGAGGCGTGCTCAATTGTGCGCACGCGGAGATTGTTTAATAACGCGAAGCAGCGTGGCAATAGTCGCGGACGAAGGAAGGATTCGTCCGCGTACTTATCGCCGGAGCCAGGCATGACCAGTCCACTCGGCGCGCTCGCCATGCGCTCGCCTGGTCTAACGCCATTAATTATTACGAACAGGGTCAGCCGTAAGTAGAGTGAAGCACGGACGGAGTGAAACGAAGAGCGTATAGAGACAGAACTATCGCGAGGCGCGTCTTCCTCGCAGCCGCGATTGTTTTTTTTTTTTTTTTTTTTTCCACGGGAAAAGAATTCGATCAGAATATTTGACGGACGCAACTCGCGCCAAAATAAGCGAGAAGCGGTTCTTGTTTTAATTATAATCTCGTTGTGAACGTGTTGGAAATTGGTTGATCACGATTAATATAATCAAACGTAACTATTTCTGTCTTAAAAATTTCATAAGTTTGAGTTTAGAATAATTTTGGGATTTAAATTCGAGAACACGCGCTTGTAAAATTTTTCAACAATGTTACTAAAATAAAATAATATGTAATTAATTCTAAAAGAAGGATAAAAAAATATTGTGTTTTGTTCGATAAAAGAAGAAATTCTCTCTGAAGAAGAAGACTCTTACGGGCCCTTTTCGAGCATCGAGCGCCTCTCTCATGAATCCAGCGTGTTATTCGGATTTGTTTCTTCCAGTCACATGCGGTATAGGTATCCCTGATTCGCCGTTCGGTCGTCGCAGGATCTCTCTCCGGGGCACCGGGTATCCTCGCGTCTTTTGCTCGCGCGCGCGCGTGCGCGCGGTCGCGTATCTTTTTTTTTGGATTTCTTTTTCCGGTGCAGGACTGTAACCACGCGTTTTACGACGTGAGTGAGAACGAACAGTTTCTTACTGATTCGTCGGGAAACGACGATTTCGAAGAGGACGACGACCGCTTGATCGGGCGTTAGCGCGAGGCGCGCGATGTGAACGCCGCGCTTCTACTGAGTACGGTGAGCTGGCATTCGCGATGGCCAAACCGAAAGCAGACTGGAGTCAGTTCCGTTCCGGAGGTGAGGCCTATCCGTTACAGAGAGAGAAGTCGGGGAGAGATGGTGATGACGATGCAGAGGCGGCGGTGGTGGCGACGGAGACGAACAGGAGAGGGAACGGACACTGAAAAGAAATTCTTTCTCGAACGCGTCGACGCACCGCGTGCGATTAAACATTTATCGAAAGAAAATAATATTGTGCGGAAATAAGACAATATAATTCGTCGTATCTGAGTTTTATTTTTTTTTTATTTAAAATAATTTTTCTTGTGTAAAACACTTATTCGATTTAGAACTCTCTGAATCGAGATTCATCGTGTCGATTTAAATTGACATCTCGAACGAACACGCGCTGAATTATAATTTGTCTCGGGGTCTGTTAAATTAATTCGCCAGAGAACGAGAGAAAAGCGTATGTGCGAGTGGAACGACGCCGTTGCGGAGACTCGCGAATTATCCACCGATTCTCCGTCCGATCCGCCCCTGCCGAGCAGAGGCGACGGAGAGTCGAGAGAAGGAGAAGAAGGGCCCGAAAGACCGAGAGAGCGCGCGACTACGGCGGAGCTGGTCCTTCAACGTCGAGGACCGACCCCGGCGACGCATTTACATATCTTACGTGTAATAACCTCGAAAAAGTTTTTAACAATGGCCCGAGGTTCACCGCAGTCGAGCGAAAGGTGAGAAGGTGTAGAGAAGAGAATAAGCGAAACTGAAAAAGAGAAGCAACGCGTTTAACAAACTGTCTGTGGATTTAAAAAAAAAAAAAAAGATACGATAACGCTCTCGATTCCGCTCTCGATCGTTTCTCTTCTGACGATCTCATTATTGTTGTCGTGTTTTGCGAAAAAAGAGATAGAGAAGCTGCAAATGCAAATAACACACGATAAATAAATTATATACGTTTTGTTAATTTGCGGCATAATCCGTGTTCGCCTTCTCTTAACTTTGAAAGTCTATATTTTTCGACCGCGCAATTTCAGAGCAATTTCACACGAAACTGCGGCGCGCAAACTTAAAGACCCAATTCTTCAGAACGACGCCCCAGCGCTACCAGATTGAACGTTTTGCCGTGAGTGCACACGCTTTCGCGCAAAAAGCACGCGAAATTGCAATGTCCGTCACTCTCGCCTCAAAAGGGTTCGGTCTCGTCAGCGGACGGGCCCTCTCCCGCTTTTCCTTCCCGTGAAAGAACAGAGAGAGAGAGAGAGAGAGAGACAAGCGGAGAGATTCGGGACTTCGACGTTTCGAAGGCCTCCGATATTTTATGTTTCCTGCGAACGCGCGCGCGATCGTCTGTTGGCGATATGTAACATTGTTGCGAGGATACGAGGATGCGGCGTTTTCGCTTGTTCGCGCGCAAGTGCCGTCCGTAAAAACGCGCATAAAAATTCACCGCGTATTCCCGCCCGCGTATCGTGCCGTAAATCGTCTCGGGAGAAAAGGGAGGGGGCGGGGGTCTTCCTCGCGGTTGAAAAAGCCGCGAGGACCGACGACCGCAACGGTGGTCTCACCGACTGCGTTTGAGTAAAATGAAACGCAATAAAGAGACCTGGGCGAAAAACCAGCGAATACGGCACAAACCGTAAGTAAATCTTGTTGAGAGACGAGCGCTTTCGATTTTAAACCGATCGGATTTTTGTATTTTCTCTCGAAATTTTGTAAGAATAGAATAGAATATCTTTTTTCTCGCGTGTTTTACTGAAATTAATGAGAAAAAAATAGAGTACGGATAGCGTGGATGAGATTAAATCCTGATTATTATTGATATTTATAATTTATTATATAAATTTCTCTCTCTCTCGATAGCTAATTGTAGTTTCGAGAATTAAAGTTTTATCTATATAACAATTTCATCGGATCTCTTCTTCTTGCTCTCTTTTTTTATTTATATAACAATTCCATCGGATCTCTTCTTCTTGCTATCGGTTTTTTCTCCCGGTATAATTGAATTTAATCCCAAGAGAGGACTGAAGAAAAAGGCGCGCGCGCACACGAGCGCACAGTTCGCGTTTACTTTCGATGTTTTTGCGGGAAGAGAATCGCCGCGGCGCAGCGACATTGTTGCGGGAGAGGCAAGAAACGCGAGGTATGTTAGGCGCTATCGTGTGTGCGGTGTGGCAAGAGGTGGCCGACGGCGACGTACGTACGTACGTACGTACGAACGTACGGTTTGTCCGGTTTTCGAGACAAAGAGTTCGTCGAACCCTGGCCGCGGCTTCGTTCGTCGGTTTGATCGGCGGCGCGGCTACCGAACGTGCCGCGTACGTGCCCGTTCGCCGCGAATGAGCGTCGTCGATTCGCGTGACGTGCGACGCGTGCAACCACGTGCGATCTTCAGCGTGCGCTTCTCGCACGTGTCGCGCGTGAGGGAACGCGAAGTCGAAGGGGAGATGCTCTCTCGATCGTGATATCACTCGGAGTTGTTATCTCTCGGAAAAAAAAACTCTCTCGGCAGAAAGAGGAAACGAAAATCTATATTTTGTTACAAAGACAAATAATTGAAAACCTAAGAAAATTGACGGTTCAAACATTTTGTATCTTTTTTTTTTTTCTATTGTCGCAACATATTCGCGAATTGTTTCAGAAATTTTGCAGCGGTTCATGCAAAAGGATCAGAGAGAACGAACACGGCTTTCGGTGTGTTTCCTAGAGTGGCGATGTCTGTTGCCACACCCGGCCACTTTCTCCGGCCAAAGCCAAAGTCATTCCGGTGCGGCAAGTTACTACCCTTAATGACGCAAGCCGCCCACGCGATTTAGCGAGAAGCACGTATTATATAGGTATAAGCGCACTTTCGTTCCGAAACGGATCGCGCGCCTTGGACGGAAACAAAAATTACAGGGCGCGCAAGAAAAACGATCGATTAAGTTCGCCGGTGGCGGACAGGTAGCAGATCGCTTGATCGGCCATGACCGAATTTCGATAATTCCCGAGAAAGAAGCACTGAAAATAACGAAAGTATCTGCGAACTCTTACGTCGCGGAAGGTCGCGCGCGCGTGAAATTTTTCTCAATAATTTCTAAAGTCAAAAACTGGATTAGAAACTGGCCGGGTGAAATAGAACAAAAGTAAAAGTTGACCGGTGTCTGTCTGGTGAAACTTGACAAATTCTGTGAACAATATTTTGTATTTTAAATTGTTTTATTTTGGAGGAAATATCAAAAAAATTACTGAAGTCCATTATGTCAGTGTTAGACAACGGATCCAACACGTTAGGGATAATTTTATATTCGAATTGCATCACACATCACGCATCTTCGCACGATTATTATTGGCCTCAAGCGCGTTGCTACCTCGGAGAGATGGATTTCCGGCCGAAAGAAACGAGCGTCTCGTTGTCCGACGACGTGAGCTTCCATTCGTTCGTCCGCGCGAAATTCCTTCCTACGCCTTAGGGGGAACCCTAAAAGTTGCGGCGCGTCGAACCGCGGGCGTTCCTCTCTTTCCTTCCCCGGGCCAGAAGGGAGACGTGGAGGAGTTCGCTTGCAACCGGTTTCGACCAAACTAAAGCTAAATAAAGGCACGCTCTCCGCAGCGCGAGAGGAGGACGTCGTTGTGTCGATAATTGGCGCTCTCTCGAAAAAATCCGCGAGCGCGGAACTGTTATCGCCCGGTGCAGGTGAAATAAAAAAAAAAAAAAACGCGATTCGGAAAATTCGAGCGATAACACCCAACGTGTTATTGCGGAAATAACCGGCCGATTGAAGGATGTAATAACGATCGAAGAGTTCCGGCAAATATCGCACCGTTAGTTTATAAAGTATATACACGTATATAATTAGACAGCATAATAACAGAAAAAATTCGAGATGCTCTTCCTCCCTCCCTCACTGAGGAAGAGGCGTACTTGTTGCATAATCCCCCTCGACTTTGGCGAGATATAGCCCCCGAGCAGTAACGTTAACCAAGAAAAGGATCCGGTCGCTCTCAGGTGTATGTATTCTCTCTTCTCTCTCTCTCTCTCTCTCGTAATTTAACCCTTTGATTTTCTTTCCTTCCCTTTTCTGGCCTCTGTGCTGCAAGGTTTGATGACGCCTCGATAAATCGAGGCTTCCATCGCGATTCATTTGAATATAAATCTGTCTGTCCGGCACTCTCTCTATCTCACTCTTTCACACCGGAGATCTTCTCTAAATCAGAGAGAAAGAACGGATGAGCGACGATCGAGAGAGAGAGAGAGAGAGAGAGAGAGAGAGAGAGAGAGAGACAAAGAAGAGAGAGAAAAAGAGAAAAAGAAGAGGACAAGGAGACGAAAAGGAAAGTTCTTTTTTTTTTTCTTTCCGCTGCGCATCCAGGGTGACCGCAAACCGACCACTGCGGTGGTTGGTCGTGCGGGATTTATTTTTTGGTAGCCTTATTTCGGGTCCTTTCTCTCTTTCTCGTCTCCTCTCTTCTTCGCCGTTGGTTCTTTCGCTCCGAGCGTTTTAATGTCCTCGCGATGTAAAACTCTCCGACGGTTCACTCACGGTCCTGACGAAAATCCATTCTGACGACTGCGTACGACGTGCGCATCAACCGCCCTCATTTGAAATTCCATCCTCTCCCATTCGTTCGCGGAACGAGGGAGATTGCAACAACAGTGGGACGCGCATACGGACGCGCACACAGGATGCAGCTGCGCGTAATGATCTCGTAAAATTCTCCGAAACGGTCATTCGGTTGGCATCGTCCTTGGAATTTCTCATTGCACGTGAAATGATGAAAAACGGATAAACACAAGCGTTACACGCGCAATAATAATAAATTAAGAGAAATATATTTTTGGCCGGAGCTCGCGCGCGAAACGTGTAATCCTGTATTCTCTTCAGGGACGAACTTATAAATGATCGCTAATTCATGTTATTAAGTAGATAATCCTTTTTTTAAGTCCCTCATTATATCAATATATATCTATATATATATATATTGTAATACATATTAGATGTGTGTAAAACTAAAAAGAATTTCGCATCTTTCACAGGTCAGACGAATTTTTCATCTCCTCTGTAAATCAAATGTCCTTTTTATCCACCGTATGCGCGTATGTCGGAAAAGCAATCGCGCATCTATCGATATTTCGAGCTTATCAAATTAAATTCGTTCTTTATAAATTGAATCTCCGCTAACGAGTGTCGCGACCGTTCCGCATTAATAATAAATTAGTTCGCGTCCGATCAATCCGCGAACGGTGATCCGCGGACGCGACTTACTACGTAATAATCGAGCGCGATTTTTTTTTTTTTTTTTTTTTGACGAGAAATAAAGCAGCGATGGGTCGTGTGTTGTTTTACATCCGTCGATACGCGGAGCGGCGCGCATTATTCAAGAAACTTTTATTAGACCGACCAAGGCCGAAAGCTCACCGCGGAGTCGTATCGGGGGAAGTCGACGAGAGGAAGAGGCGTGTATATACCGCGCGCGCGCGCACCGCACGAAACGGCCCTTCTTCTTATAACCATAAATATCGCGCATAAATGCACATGGCGCGATGCTCCATAAATTCGATGCCGTCTGTCCGACCGAAAAACGAGCCTGCGCCGCGCCTGCAATAGAACCGCGCAATTAAACGCACGCTGTCTCCAAAAAAATCAAAAATGTTCATTATTAGCAGTATTCGTCCTTGGACTTTCCCAGGGGGAGGTCTCTGACTGTCTTAGCTTTCGCGCGCGCGTTTCCATAAAGAACACGCGCGCGTGTACATGAGAAGAATCGCGCGCGTCTCAGAGTTCAGAGACACCGATCACCTCTTACTCGTTACGCGCCTTTTTTTTTTTTTTTTTTTTTTTTTTACATTTCGCATTAAGATACATCCCGATGGCAAATTTGACGCGGGATCTTCGATTTGGGAATCGCGCGCGATTCGCAAATGTAAAATCTCGCGCGGGAAGCCCCGCGCGCGCTCTCCGCGTGTCTATACGTGCGCGCTCACGACGGACTAACGATATTTATTATACGCCGGCAATGAATTATGGGCCGTTAAGTTCGCCGTCGTGACGGGGCCCTTCGGCCCCGCGCGCGTAGCGCGAGAGACGTGGGCATCGCCACTGCGCGCCCGAAGGAAAAACTCTCGGGAGGAGACGGGGCTTCTCCGGTGGTGGTGGTGGCTCCGCTCGTATAAACGCGGCGTATAGCCGCTGCGCGAAATGAAATATTTATTCCATTACGGACACGGCGCACTGTTATTGTAATGCGCTGAACCGCGTTTTGCATTTTTGCGACCGCCGACACGGGGGTTATCGCGATGCGTCTCGACGCGGGGGCTGAAATGAAACACGCGCGATTATCGCGCGGCGCGAAACATTGTGCGCCCGCGATTTCCACAATGTTTCGCCAGACGATACTCCTCGTCCTACAATTGTTACGACAATCAGCGAAGAGGTAAGTATATTTTGTAACCTCAGAAATCGCGGGAGCGAAATGAAAAGCGAAATAAGGAGAAGAAGTTCACCGACAACGACGCCACATGCGATCCGGACTGTTTATTGTCGGATATCGCCTCGGGGAAGGAGAGATGAAAGGCAATATATCTCACGATCTGAGTCGCCTACGTCAGAGAACGCCCTGGAAGCTCGGTTCTCGGCGAGGAGCTCGCCGCCCGCGCACTGCTCTCTATCTATCTCTCTGTCTCTGTCTCTCTCTCTCTCTCTCTCTCGGCTTCCGTGACGGTGAAAATTCCTCGTCGCGTACCTGCGCTTCCTCCGGGGCCGCGCTATCTACCCGTGGGAAAGCGCGGAGACGACGAGACCGTTTAACAGTCCCCCTGCTAACGGTAACGGTAAAGTCACGGTGTAGTTCGGCGAGTCGCGAGAAATCGTGAAAAATCGCGCGCGCTTAGAGCGGCCCGTAATGACGAAGAAACGGGACGACGTTCGCCGATGGATGGGCCATTAGTCGTTCCGCAGTCGATTTTCGTCGAAAACCGGCTCCGAGAGCCGTTGTCCGCTCGCGCGCGCGCGGTTACGCCCATCGTCCGTCGAATCACCGGGAGGAACCGATAATCCGTTGAACATTAAAACAGCGGCTGTTTACTGTTATGATGGTCCACGGAAAAAAACACATTCTGGCTGGATTTGACGTCCGGCGTTTTCCCATAAGATACTTGCCTCAATCGCGGGAATAGAATTTATGTGGAAAGATTCCCCCCTCCCACCCCCCGAAATATTAATGACCGCGAACCTGCCCTCAGCTTTGTGCGATTTTTTTTGCGTGACGCAACAAGACGTCGCAACGGACGTCCGCGAGATAATAAACGGTCTGTAATGTTGATTCAGAAATAAATTAGCCGCGATTATGCGATAAGAATCTTTTTCTCGTTTGCCCAACGTGACGTTGCATCACGGACGAATGCTAAATCCTGATGTATTGCGCGCGCGAGGATTTATTGACGTTCAATATTAGGTTCCTTGCGTATTGGAGATAGAGAGAGAGTATACGCAATATTGGACTGTTGCAATATTGAACCCAGGCGCAACACACACACACACACACACACACGTTTGATGTAAGATATTTTACGCTACATGAAATCTCCGCGTAATTAATCGAGTAGATGAACACACAGTAGCCACACTGGGAAATCTACCGTGTGATGTACATCTCATCGTCTGTACGTGAAACACGAGAGTTTCTCTGTGCCAGCGATCCGAACGCGCCGACTAACGGGCGGGACCATTTATTGGATCGATACATGTGTAATCCGTGACGCAATATGCGATAGAATAATTAATTAATTCACGAGCGCGATAAACAGAAACGAGTTTCCACAACGGCGATTAAAACGGTGAGATCCGTCGAAGAATTCAGTCGGCAAGACGTCATGGAGAGTTTGAGCGAGAACGACAAGGCTGTCTTGAACACCATCTTCGATCCGCTTTTCGTATTTCCTCAGTTTTCGGAAGAACAGGCGAAGTTCGAGAAAGGAAATACTGGTACGTTGCTTGAACAACATGCGATAGACAAAACAGAACTGTCATCGTTGCAATTGTGTTTTTTCTCTGTTAAAATGTTTTCCACATACATGGCAGAATATTTTACATGCGCAAGCGGAAAAATATGTCACTCTTTTTAATATCAAAATACATAAGTATGTTATTATTATTATTATTATTATTATTATTATTATTATGTCATTACTTATAAATTCTCAATGTTATTATATTACTTCGTGCTTAGTTTTGACCCATGTCCTGTGTGAAATTTTGAGTACAGTTACACATGAATATGAAAGCCGAGGTTTCCATTAAATCTTAATCACGACACACAGGTCGAGATTCAAACTTCATATGAACCGCAGAAAATTCCGCAAACTGCTTCAAAATTCGTTTAAGGGGCCCACGGTAGAAAACCACAAGTCCGGCACAAAGTGCGCTCGAGCTATTTGCTCTCACGTGATAAAGATCGTCATGAATATGTAAGAGAGAGCGCGCGAAATGTACAATAACAGATAAATTTTTCCTTTTCGTGCGAGTCTCTTTCTTAAGGTTGCGCGAGACGAGTGTAAACACGAGAAACATATGTTGCCGATTTTTTTTTTTTTTTTATAACTCTACATACGTGCGAAGTTAAAAATTATGGTGACAAGAAAAATTTTTTATATCTTTTTGTTTCTTTAAATATTATAATTTTGTTTTCGTTTTTTAAATATTATTTTAAGAAGAAACAACAGACGATCTCGAGGAAACTCGCTTGGAACTACACGTATTGGACATCGTGAAGAAGGCAATAGTCTGCGCGGAAACGAAGAACTTCGACGAATCGTTCCGGCTTTTTGACGAAGCTCTGAGACAAGCACCCAAGTCGGCATCGATTTTGAACGACAGAGCACAAGCTCTACGTCTGGCAAATCGAAACGAAGGTACTCCCGCGTTTTGACGAAGTTTCGACGAAGTTACGGATAAGACTTTAATTTTTTCTTTTTTTTTATTGCGTGTGTTATCGCATTAGAAGCTTTGGAAGATCTGAATCTGGCGGTGGAATTGAGCAAGGGAAATGGAAAAGTAGGTGTTCAAGCGCTTTGCCAACGTGGCGCCCTTTATCGGTGGATGAAACAGGACGACGACGCCAGAATGGATTTCGCTCGAGCGGCCAAAGCTGGTTCGAGCTTCGCTAAGTCGCAATTAGTCGCTTTGAATCCTTACGCGGCTATGTGCAACTCGATGCTGTGCGAAATCATGTCCAAAACCTTTCGTTCTTAATTTAAATAAAGAAAAACAAAACAAAAAAAATATATATATATATATCAAAGAAGAATAATAATAGATAACACTTTGATTTTTTTATTTCGACATAGATAGGTCAAAGAAGAATAATAACGTCTTAATAGATAACACTTTATTTGATTTTTTTATTTCGACATAGATAGGTTCAAAAGCGCGTGATCTTACATGAGAACCTCGATAATAATAATAATAATAATAATTGTAAAAGTATAATAAATCGTATAATGATAACAATTATCATTGGAGAAATTTTCCAATAAAATATTTTGTATAAATTAATTGTTTACACAATAAATACCTGGGCTATAGATACAAGCAGAAGTTTTTAATGCCTTTGCACGTGTGAAGTTATATATAAGTTATGTATAAGTTTTTATTGTGTCGAGACATTATTGGTGCAGCTTTAACTTTCTTTTTGTACAAAACGCATAAACGCCCCTGCCTGTACATATAAACTTTCCGTAAAATCGAATCTAATTTTTCTACTAAAAAAAAAAAAAAAAAACGGGAGAAGGGAGGGAGGAAACTCGCGCGAGCGATGATATTCACAGTTCTGCAAGAAGTAGCTATGAACACGGTCTGTTCATGTTGTTTACACTTTTTTTGCAACTCTTTCGTATTTTAGAATAAGATTAAATAAAATGTGAGCAGGTCACATCGAGCAACGAAAGATTAAACGCGTGTTTCAAATTTCAACTTTTACATTTTTGTCCTCACTTGCTCCAACAATGGTTACAAAATCTAAAAATCAACACGCAGTTTACAAGAATCACATAGAAACTTAATACAATTTCGAAATTATAAAAAAACGAAGTCGTTTTTCTGTCTTAACAACATGTATTTGTTTTGCAATTTATTAAAAAAATTTTATTAAGTTTCTATATTAGTCTTTGCGATCTTCTTGCGTTAGTTGTTGTGAATCACTGACAATTTCAGTAAGGACGGAAACGTATGGTTAAAGTTCGAAATACACGAAATGTATCACCATTTTTCTTTGCTTGATTTTGTGGTTTATTCACATTTAATTTATATTTTATTAATTTATTGTTTTACGAGTGTCGTATAACTTTTCCATTTGTTAGAATAAGATATTCGGATATCTATTGTAAAACTATTCAGAAAGCAAAGGTTTTTAATGCCTTTACACACGTGAAGTTATGTAGTGTTCACTGTGTGTCGAGATATTATCGGCGCCACTCTGCAACTTAAACTTTTTTTTGTGTAAAACGCATAAACGCCCCTGTGCCTGTGCGTGTAACTTTCTGTAAAATCGAATCTGAATTGATCGGATTAATTAATTCAGAACTCCAATTTTTGTTCCGTTTTTCGTTTTCTTTCGAAAGCAAAAATAAGCTACTTTAAGAGAAAAGAAAGAACGAAACAGAGTGCAAAACGTGTGAGCAACCACGAACAGACCCCTACATCAGTAAGTAACAAAAAAAAAAATCTCTACACACAGACAAAATTCTTTTTACCCGTAAAGATTCTTTCTCTTCCAGCTACAAAGTATCTCTCTCCTGAAACTGAAAATTTACATGTAAAAGGAGAGAAATCAATGCCTGTTAAACTTAACTACGGTAGACATCGATCACAATTGAGAAATTGAAGACTTTGGATAATACTCACAATTTATTTTTAATGGAAACTGATATACGCTCGATATACTGCAATTACATGTAAACACACGATTTTCCTATATTATAGATATATGTATATATATGCAGAATAAAATATGCTCCTTTTTCGCACACATACGTTCACGCTTTTTTTTTTTTTTTTTGAGTGATTGACTACTTACAATCACATCGGTCACAGGAAATTGTCCCCGTGCAAAACTCACGGACAATTTGTGTAAATGCAAATCTGAAGAGTTATTTTAGTATGGTCAAATTTGTGTTAAATCCGCAGGTTGGACGTAAGAAGGACTTGAGTTTGATATAATATTGTTTATTTTTCATACTTTTAACTACAATTTGTTGATAATTTCAAAGACTACGTAGTTATTGACACACACACACACACACATTATAAATAATTAAATCCTTTTGCAATGTCTCCAAAAATGTATTTCTCAAATTGTTGCCAGTATAATTTTGCGAATCAATAGATATAAGCCAGAGCATATTCGTACACGCGTGTCTACGCACACACACACACACGCAGTTCGAATCTGTATCTGATCTCAACTATAATCAATTGTTTGTGTCAAACTCTGTAACAGATCATTCCCATCCTTACTACATATGGAGTACCGAGACTTAAATTCGAGAACAAATGGGAGTAAAACATATTTTGTATATCTGTCAAAATACATTGTTGATTAATCAGATACGTAAAATTCTATTAGAGAGAAAAAATGAGCTGGGTGGTTTATTTCAATTGTTCGCGAGTTATCGTGACAACAATTTGAGAAGAACATTTTGGAGACGTTGCAGGAAATTTTGTGTGTATATGTGTGCGTGTGTGGAAATATATATTTTCAGTTTTTGGTAAAGTTAAAAGTACAGTCAACAATATTATATTAAACCAAAATTCTCTACTATATCTCTTCTCTGATTTTAAAAATTTCGGAGAATTGCTGCTCGTTCCTCTTTCAATTTTTCGACAACTTCACAAAAGATTCTCTTAATATATTGCAAGCATATATCGGTTTCAGCAATTATTAATGAGAGACAAGTAATATAAACTTTTCATCCGAGCTTCAAGTCTGATTTCCGTCGGTTCGAGATTTTTCGATTCGTCGGACGCGAGAGTTGTCGTGCGTCTTAATCTCGGTCAGTTTCAAATTCTCGCGTGGATTTGCGAACTATCGCGAAAATAGCGCACAGCTGTGCACGAGAACGAGAGTTTCAGCGTTTTACTTATTGTGTATACACAAAAGTATCACATTTCGGGTGTTTGTCGCGTCAGTTTTTCAGCCAAAGAAATCAACCGTATCTCTTGAGGAGAACAAAACTTGAACAAAAAGTCGATCAATTGCGAAGAGAATTGAAAACAAAATTTTGATCGTGAGAGGAAGTTTTCTCAGATAGATAATATAAATATATGAGTATACACAAAATTATTTTCCATTATTTTTGCGTATAAATTTATATAAATATACACAAAAATAATGAGAAGTAAAAAAGAGTTCTTCGTCATCAACACCGATTGACATAATTGATCTGACTAAAGAAACACCAAGAGCCTACCCAACAACGCAAAAGAATTTGTAGGAGACCGTTGTTATCTATAATCTTTAGGAAACTGTGAATTAATCAGACACTTTCGAACGTTGTGTGAATGAAACAAAAAGAAAAAAACAGTTGTCGATGTTATTCCGGAAGATGTCGAATCGGATACAAAGAAAAGTTCAAGGTTTAAGTCCAATATGTTTCGAGATGTTATCGTTCGATCTGCAACCCATTATTCCGTTGCGGACACATATTTTGTGCAGGATGTTTGAAGATGTGTCTCGATAAAAAAAACAAAACAGCCTTGCCCCACCTGCAAAAAAACTTATAACGGCAGAAACTTGTATTCGCTTATATCTTTGAATACGTTATACAAATAACATCGAATTTTCTATAACTTTTCATCCCTGCAAATTTGAAGCTACACACAGCTTCTCGTCGTTTATAAAACTATGCCATCCCCCGTCTTTTTCTTTCTCCTTAAACCATAACAAAATCTCGACCCGTATTAGATTTTTCACTTTCAGAACCTTCTTCGCTGACATCTTCCCCCTCGGCAGAATCAGACGAAGTCTTTTTTTCTTCGCTGGGTGACGATTCCTCGACTCCCGATACTTCTTCCTTAGGTTCTTCTTCTTTTGCAGATTTCTCTTCCCTGAGAAATTTATCTTATGATTTTCCGCTCGTTAAATAATTTGTATAAAAATTGTTCGCTAAGCAGCAATATTAGCTCGAGAAACAAACAAACAACAGAGAAAAGTGAGAAAAACAACGTAAATTTTGGAGTCGATGCAAAACTGCACTTCCCTTCAGTTGAAGCTTACATGTATTGTTATACATTGTTATATAGATTATATTAATTAAAAATAAATCACGAGACACTTACGATTGAATCAAAGGCGCGTCCTCAGAATCGGAATCCTTCTCTTTCTTTCGTTTCTTTTTGCTGACTTTCTTGTCATTGTCGGATGTGGAACCATAATATTCATACTGTAAACACACATATAGGTATCTCATGTTATGAAAACATATACGTATTTCATGTTATGAAAACCTGTTTGTCTTCTTGATAAGAAAAATAGAAAAGCTATAACATACCTGATACAATGGCCAGAAGGACGCGAAGAAACCAACATCGGCTGTTAAGTTAGGTAGCAACCATAAATGGCATCTACCCAATGTGGGAATCCACAGAAGACAGAATACAATCATTCTGAAAATAGCTAACGCTAGTATGAATATGAGAAATCCTGCGGCTGCAATGCTCAAGTAATATACTCCGTGACGAATAGTTAGCGGCCACAATGGGAAGAGACACACTACTATTGCGGCTAGAACTACGAGTGTACCAAAGAACCAATAGTACACAGGAACCGGCTCGTATATCCATACATATGCATCATTACAGTCCACAAAATACTGATCCATATGCATTTCCAGTCGTACCTGAAATCAAACGCGTGTGTTTTGTTAACTTACAAAAAGAAGAAACTCAAGAAAAAGTTATATTTAAATCTCATATAAATAAATATTTCTATTTACTTTTGGTTTCTTTTTTTGCTCTTTTTGTTCATCAACTTTCTCTTCCCCTTTCTCATCCTTCACATCTTTGCTCTCCTTGGAATCTTCTTTCTCCAATGATTTTTTGTCTTCTTTTGTAGCTTTTTTTTTACTGCCTCTCATTTTATTGAGCTCCTCCTCCGAAATCACTACCTTCTTTGCCCGGTGAAAGAATTTGTGTCTCAACATCACGTCGAGATAATCGGACACCTGCTCTCGTGTCTCGAATACGGTGCTCCAGGGTGAATTTTCCAATAGGGCATCGACCGCGCGAGATCCCGTGAAGTACTCGACATTGTGAGTTCTGTCAAACTTGGTCTTTTTCGACGGTACATTATTCCGAATCCACTTTGCGACATCGTACTCCTCCTTGGACGGTTTGTCCTCGGCAACCTTACCATCCGAACTGGCGACTTCCTATTACAAGCACAAACAAAAATAACTTCGATATAATCGAACAGAATGTGAACGTAGGTGGAACCGTTGTTGTTCGCCACGTTCAAATTTTAACTGACAACTCGGAAAAACGCGAGTTAATTCGTAATTTTTTGTGTCAATTTTTGTGTCTTGCTACGTCATCCGAAGCGGCGCTCGTCGGCGCTGACAGATCTCGCGAGTCGGCAAATCGTTAGCAATTGTTGTCTGCGCGCGACGGACAACGACGGGTTCCGTGTACGAGCCGAAATAAAAATCGTGAAATATATCCGCGCAAAAGTGTCGCTATTTGAACACATATGTGCCCGCTTACGTCTTTGCGTTTCCTGTTTTTCCTGCGTTCCGCCATGTTGTAAATCCCGTATCACGCTTGCGCGCACCAAATCATTCACTGATGCACAACGCCGCCGACCGTGTCAAAGCCGGACAAAAGTAACACGATCCGCGCTGACTGCGCTCACATGATCGGCGAAGAATTATATGTAAGCCCCGCTAGCGCCGTCTGCGGATTTTCGAGGGAACCAAAAACCTACCCGTGCCATCTTCTTTTCGCGATCCTGTAGAGGCGCTGTGCGTCGACCTTGATCAGCTGTTTGTTTTTCACCGTCTTCCGTGGCATTGCTGTGCGCGTCGGAGACAATCCGAGCTTTTGTCTCTCAACTTGACAGCCACTGGTGCGTTTCGCGTGCGTGTGCGATCGAGTGTGCGATCGGGAGCGGGTAAACAAAGCGCGTATCTGTCGTGCGGCATCAGTCAGTGGATTTTGGATGTACGGCACGAATATGCGTGAGTGCGAGGAGTTCGCGAGGTGTTTTCCACCGGGTCAGCCGGTCCAGGCCTCGCCGCCGTCGCTACAGGCTCCGGGTTTGGACGCTTTGCACCGACTCTGCAAGCAGATCTACCCGGACCAAAGCAATCCTCTCACAGTCACGGCGGTTCTGAAGTATTGGTGAGTGCGTGACGATGGTAACGCTGTAACGTCAATAAAGGCAGCAGGTCGCGCTTCTCGCTTCGGTACGCACACAGTGGTATCGGAGAACTTGGACGCGACTCGATTTGTGTACACAACAATAGGCAATCCGGATGGGAAAGAAATAATTCGATCTTTCACGTTTCGACAGAGTCGACACGTGAAGTATACGAATTTTTTACGTTGACTTGTTGGAAGTAGATTTGATGCGATATCACTATGTAGAATAACAAATGTTACTACATGATACGCTTTTGAAGATGTGCTCGTAGAAACTCTCGGTTTTTCTATTTCTCCCTCATGAGAACGCGTTGATTACTTTGTCTATATTTAGCCCCCCCTTGTTACATACGCAAAGCCGGACGTCCTGTCAGCTGACTAAGATTTTCCGCATGTTTTTCTTTAGGTTAGGCGGACCAGACCCGCTTGACTACATCAGCATGTACGCCAATCCTGGATGTCCTAAGCTCGGAGTACCACCTCACTGGCATTATGTCAGGTAAGAGAGAGAATTCTATAAATTTTGCTTTGGGTATGTCAGGTAAGAGGGAATGTGTTTTTTTGAAAGATATTTAAGGTATTTAAATCCGTCTTGTTAAGTATTTAAATCTCAGAAAGAAAATTCTTTTGAGATAAAAAAAAGCACTTTAATCTCGAGAAGCAAATTTGTTGCATTAATGTTTAACTCTCACTTTGAAGTTGATTGTGAGGTAAGTTTATGAAAATTAAGAACTGTATTTTTTTTATTTTAAAATATTAAATGTACATGTTTTAGAGAAAAGAGTGTTGGAATAGAAATTGCAATTTCAAGATGTACGCGTATGTAGAATAAAAACTGTACATATGAATACATGATGATATGTTACTGCCTGACTCGGTTATTTTATTGGAATCTGTGTACTGAATGACGAATGACCTTCCGCCAAAGGATGCTGGGTTTTTTTTCTCTCTCTGCGTCGGCGACCCTTGCTTCTTCAGTTTCAAACAGCTGTCTCAATATAGTCCGCCGGCGTTTTCTCTATATATAGAGAACGTTAAAGCGCGGGGAGAGTCGGAAATAGAAGCGCCGTACTTCCCCCTTTTTCGTCTGCGCCATCTAATTATACGTTAGCATTGACCGAATGTCCGCGTGTCTTGCTGCGATTATAAATTATTTTTTTTTTTCCCTCACGTCACGTGTAAAACGTATTTGTTTGCTTGTTCAAAGAAATGCGTTTTTTGTTTTGTTTTGTTTTTTTTAAGTTACACTGCCATTTGAAAAAGTTAACAAAGAAACGGAGGATTTTATTTTTATCTTTGTTATATTGTTTTTATATTTTTTTTATTGATTTTAAATATAGCTTAGGATTATCTGATTTACACGGCGATGGTCGGTTGCATCCCAAACCTGGTCCAGGTCGCCCGAGCGGTTTCGGATTCGAGTTAACATTCCGACTCGCTCGTGAAAGGGGCGAGACGACACCGCCCACGTGGCCTGCGACCGTGATGCAGCAATTGGCCAAATATGTTTTCAATTCCGGGAACACACTGATGCCGGGCGACCACGTCTCCTGGCACGCTCCACTGGACGGCGGTAACGGCCGGATCACTCAGATTTTGATGGGGCAAGATTCGCAGTTTCCAGCCTCGGTTTCTACGCCGCACGGAGAAGTACGTATATATAAAAATGCTCGAATGCAATCTAGCAAGTCGATGTAAGATTGACCGATAAAACTTCTTTACAATCAGATGCTCAGGTGTTGCGCAAGAAAATCTCGTAATTACGTTATTGTTTGTATTTATCGTGAAAAAAAAAAAATGATTAAAGAAGCAAGAAAGAAACCAAAAAACACAGGCTTTGAGATGTCCCTAAGACGAGTTGTCGATGTTCTCTTGTTCTTCTCGGAAACAGGTTTCGTTCGTTCAAATCGTCGGCGTTACTTCCGAGGAATTACAGGCGGCTCAACATTGGAACGGGCTGGGAGTCGTCAACTTGCTGAAAAGCGCTCGGGACTGCGGCCCGTGGTTAGTCACGGACATGAGAAGAATGCATTCCGCTATGGAGGACGATCCCTCTATAGCCGAGAGAATACAGAGCGGCATCGAGAGAGACGGATCGAACACGAGCGGCGTATCGGCCAAGTGTTGGTAAGTGGTAATATCGTCGATTGAGAGTCGATGGGAATCGCGGAAGATGAGAGTTACAGGCTACGTATTTTGTTGCGCAGGTGGGTTCAAATAACGAACGACAGAGCTACGGAGAAGTACAGAGAGAGAAGAGACGATTCCGATGACAACGACGACGACGACGACGACGACGACGACGAGGACGTGAAACCGATCGTGAAGACGGAGAGATTGTCGCCGTGCGAGAAACAGGACGTCAATGTTTCCGATGAGAATAGTATTAAAGTCCTGCCCGGATTACACCTAACGTTCAACCTTGAAGCCGGCTCTTTATTACCGTTAGCAATAAAGTCAGTTATATTCAATCGCCGCCGAGCGCGCTCACTGCGCGACGTTCGATGAATAATGCAATATATTGGACATTACAGAGGCCGCGTGATGCATGGGAGGCATTTCACGTTCAAATCCATAGTGTCGAACTCCGCCGTCACGATAGTCGCACCGTCGGTCACGGGTACTTTCGTGTCGAAGGAAAAACCGTACGTCGTTCAGGGCCCGTGGTTGCAAGTGCTCCTCTCCGAAGAACTGGCCGAAAAGATGGCTGAGGAATTTCAAGTTCTAAGTTCCACGTCCAACGAGGTAAACAACGCGCTGTGCTATTTTTGGAATTACATCTACAGACATCCAAGAAATCTCGTATATATTTAAATTTTAATTTGATTTTTAATTTTAATCTTACATGTGTTTAAATTTTAATTTTAATTGATATTCCGTATGCAAACATTACAAATTATATTTTGTTACAGATCGAATTGCCAAAGACGTTTTCTTGGCCCGAACATAACTTAGTCATCACCATCATCAACGATTAAAATATTGCGGTGCGGTCATTTTTGTCATTTTTGTGACAAATTCATTTTTCATTCATTCGCGTTTCGTTCAAACAATTAAGTTAAAAGAGATGGGCGTAATTATATGAAGTATTATGTGAGACCTATCCGTTAAAAGTCTCGAGTTTTTAATATTTATACACACACAACGTCGACATCCTTCCATGACCTTCTAATATAAAGTTGATTAACTTATACTTTTTATAATCCTATTTCAGATTTTCCAGTGTTAAAACTCTCTTTCTTTTAAAAAATTTATATTACATACATATCTATTCATACACATATTTTTTTATTCAAATATATATTTTTTCCTAGTTGTTTATTTTTTTTTTTTTATTTTTTTTTTAATGTGCGTGTGTCAAGTTATCTGCGAAACAGTAAATTAACAACTTTGTTATCTCGATGCAAAAATAAAGCACGGTAAAATGTTGCGTATTTTTTTGTGCATTTTTTATGTATTTTAATATATACAATGTACATATGTAGGGTATAAATTATATATTACTGTTTTATATAATGAGAAAGATCATATATATGTTTGGTTATACGTTCCCTATTACATACTGCGAAAAGGAAGAGAAAGAGAACAATGCACGTAAATTGTTGTTGCATAAATATCTACCGCGCAAATATTTTATGTGAAAATCGCGCACGCATGACATCTCAATTTTTTCTGACATTGCGATATCGCCTGTTGTTTCGCCGCTTTACTCTTCTGCTTGTCTTCTTCGCGGGGGGACACGTATCCTGACCGTGATTCCTCGCCGTTGTATTGTTATTACTGCCACTCTGAGTCACGTGTTGCCCAAGCACGTTGAACAGCTTGGCGTGGGGATTCTGAGATATCGGATATGACATTGATATCAGTCGCATGTATCAACAATCGCGTTATTGACGTTACGAATTGCGATTCTAATTTTGCTTATATTCGAAATTGAAAATGTACGGCGTTGAACTCTACTCTGACATGTTGGAAAGACAAATGGAATTGCTTTATCTGTGTTCAAGGGCTCCTAACGACCTCACACCTGTTTCGGGTGAGTTAGATGTGAGATTTATATGTAATGTGTGTAAACTAAGCTAAACTAAATCGTTAAGCGCGCGCGTGACATCATGACTCAGCGGATCAAAAACCAGATATTAGCGACCACTAATTGATTTGATTGCGAATCTCTTCCGCGAAATTATCGGAATTTCTGATCGTCGAAAATCGCGAAAGTGATCCATACAAACAGTGTACAGTTTACCTGGTTTTTGCACCGCTGATCTTCCGTGTCATGTGACAGCGATATTCCACGCGGGACACGCGCACAAACGGTTTAAAGTGCCCGCACTTCGCCACGTGCGACAAGTCTAGAAAGCAGGATAATTTTGCATTTATCACAAGTTGAGCAAAACTACACGAGGGATTACTCGAACGAAAAGGGAGAAGTGAGAAACGTCCAACATTCTATTTACAATCAATTTGCAAGTTCTAGAAAAAATTCGAGTTTATTTTAATGATTTATGACGATGAGATTATCACGTGGGAGAGATACAAGCGCGCGCGCGCGCGCGAGTTACCTTTTTTAAAAAGTTCGTTAACATCTTGACGGCTCCTGTGCATAAAATCACGACGATACAGGCGGAGGCAAAGTCCTCGACTTCTTCGCAGCTGATGCTGCTAATGACGTTAACGATACCGCGGAAAATATTAGCGAACGTCTGCAACGCGTCGATGCACAAATCTCTGAAGAAGCAGATTATCTATTCAAAGAAAGTTTATTTTTTATTCCTCCTGTGTGAAATTTTCTTTGAGAACTTTCCCGTGAGATTTTTTCTTTCGACGTCAGAGTAGAAAAAAAAAAAAAAAAGATAAGACGCGGTTTTAATAAAATTTCTCGACACTTTTTCTTTCTTATCTTCCTCGCATTTCTGTATTCAACCTCTGCTGAGGTTGAAAAGTAGCGCGTACCTGAAATAATAAGTTCGTCACCACGAGTATCAGTTCAATTAGCCTCGTCACGAAGTCGAGCAGGATCAGCAGAATGTGCTCGATAGTTTCCCAGAGCCAGCAGACGAATCGCCGGAGGATCGTGAAGTGAATGCTGGCCTTTGACAGTTGACTCATCATGGTCGATCTTAGAAATTCACGCTTCGCCATATAATTTTTTCTCGCAAAATTGACATGAAAATAAACTCTCGCGTTGCAACAGAAATAGAACAATTAATTTGCGTGTGTGTGTGTGTGTGTGAAACAAAAACCGATGGATGTTTTTGTATTGCTTGAAATTTGCTCATGTATACATTATTGTTTCCCGCGATAAGAACACAAAGAAAAGATACAAGGAAACGCACTTATGTTCATTTAGCAATTTCAAGATATGTTTTATTGATATCAAGCGGTAATTACAATGGACATATCGTCGCATGCGTATTGATACAATTGCCAGTGATAGAATAAATGAACGCGCGCGTGTGTGAATTATTATTATTATTATTAGTATTATTATTATTTTAATGATAAATACTATACGTAGCTTAATCGTAATCTGGCAGTATTTTACTATGTGGTCGTTTGAGTTTAATGAAAGATTATCGTTAATTGTACATAGTAATACATATTAATGTATTAGCTATATATATGTATAGAATGTAACATTTGTTGTGTTGTACGTAAGTTCTCAAGGCCACCGTTGATGGTTTTTCGTCCACGTGATTGTATTTCCTAATTAATAATTGAACTCGTTTTTACGTCGCTAGATTTTATACGCTCGTTTTATACGCGCGTCATTATATTTCGTGTCATTTCGTTTTTAATTTTACGCGAACGCCGCGAGAATCGACGTTAACATTAAGACAACGAGCGCCGCGATTTCTCTCGACGATGCGGCGGCGTTGCACGCGTCCGCATCGCTGCAGGATTGCACGCATCCACGAACGTATCTACAAAGATATTGATACGTTAAAGATCGACGCACACATTCACTTTTTTGAATTCTCCTCTAACTTTGATTTTCTTACTTGTTGTCGAAGTAAAAACCACCGCAGTGGGACATCCTGATAATTTCCGAGTCCGTTGTTAGGGTTCCGCTATCTAACGCGCAGCTCCTCACCATGAGGGACACACCAGATTCATCTGACATCAGTCGAGTCGATCAGGATATGTTTTTCTCAATCACATGTGATTATTTTTAACACAATTAATACGCGAGTTACGGAGTTTCGCGTACGGGCGAAAACGTATGCGACTTGACAAATAAAAGAGATCTTCAAAAAAAAATTTAAATAAAAGATTTTCAAAAAAATTCTATTTAAAAAAATCTGGAATCTTATAATCACGCTATACCGTATACGCCTGCAATCTTGATGCAAGCTGTCGCTGGGAAGAGACCATCCCGGCCCTTCCGACCCCCCAAGCAGGGCGACTCCAAGAAAGCAAGACTCCCATTGTTGTGAAATGGGTCGTCGCAAGGTTTGTTGTTGCCATTGATCGATACACACTTGAAACAGTCGATGGCCCATCCTATGGGGGAAAGCGGGGAAGGGGAAGAAAGAGAAATCAGTCACAAGTTTTGCTTATTTGCCAAACAAATTTCGATAAGCGATAAACGGTTTGCTCAAAATCTTTCATACGGTTGTTTGTCGAAGTTCGAAGGTCGTTCGAACATCGTTGATTTTCGTGCGCTTCGTGAGAGACAAAAAATTTTCTTTGAAAAACAGAGAGATAAAAATGAAATATCAAGGTTTTTCTTCAACACACAGTGTCGTCGCAAGAAAAGATCTCGGCGATCAATAAAAAACCGCTTGAAACCGCTCGAGCGGCGGCGCCAAAGCGAGCTATTTTTGCACAAAATTGCACAAACTATACTTCGCGGTTACAAGCACATTAACGGCTTGTCCTCGAAACGAAGGTGTGCACACACAATCCAGATTATTGATCTTTACTCGCGCGAAATTCGCAAGATAGCCCACGTCGTTGCTCTCTCTCTCTCTCTCTCTCTCGCGACCTTCTTGATAATAAATTTGAGCTCACGCGATATTTGAAAACAAAAAAAAAAAGAAAAAGAAAACGGGAGTACGTTAGCACCTTGCGCGAAAACAATAATCGGATCAATCGGTCGAAATCGCATAATTTTTATCGAAACGCCACATTTTGTCTACCCACCTCTTTGGAAGGCGAGAACGGACAGGCAAACGAACCAGAGATTTCCCACGTTCATGCTTCGGCGACCCGAGGAGATGTCACTTCCCGGTGGAATCTCGCGCGTCTCTCGTCGACGTCGTCAGCTTCTACATTCCGGACGATACCGAGCGGATTCCTCGCCGGCGATCATCTCAGCCGCGGATAACTCGACTCCGCTCCCCGGCACCGCAGATCGAGCGTTGCGATGATACCTGTCGCAAGATAAGATGATCCATCCAGAGACGTCAGCGACTGGATGGCGAACCGTTTTCGCGATGACGTTCTCGCCGACGTGCTCGTAGTGTTTTGACAGCCGGTTACCAAGGCGATCGCGAACTTTATACAGACCTCGATCTCGCCTCCGTGGAGGATTTGAGAAGTGATCGATGAAAGTTTGAATGATACTAGACTCGCGTAGCTCTCGCGTTGTTACAAGAATCAATAAGTTTTCGTTCTTGTGTTCTCTATAGACCACGCGGCTCCGCAAAACCGCACGACGAGGAAAAACGACGTCGTGTGGCTCGACTCCGATTTTTATACCACCAACGACGAACGTCACTTCGCGTGATTCCACCCGGAGTCGCGGACACACGTGTGACACGCGAATAGTGGGTGTAGTAGTTGGGTTTTATGAACAATACAGTGAGAAGTCTCTGTTTCTTTTTTCTCTCTTTCTCTCTGACAAAAACCATACCGACCGACGAGTACGTCTGAGTCTGTCTCCGGTTATTTTTAATTTTTAATTTCGCTACAACGCGTACATGATTCACGACGAGATGTACGAGTGACGCTAAAAAAAAAAAAAAAAAACACCTAAAAGATCAAAGACGATATATTTGCGCGTGTTTAAACAAATAACTCATCAATTTTAACAAAACCCTGATCGTTTCGAAACGTTTCGTGGTTTATAGTCGAACGACTCAGCGAACATAATTCGAAATGATTTCCGCTGAGGTGTGCGACAGAAGCGTCGAGTCGAAGGGGCGAGTCTCTATGTTTCTCCGCAGCGAGACGCAGAAAAACGCGGCCAGCATCCGGCGCGCGGCACACCTGCATCATCGAAACGGAGGGAATCAATTTCGGGGGAGTCGCGACCGCGCCGCTGCGCAGTTCAAAGCGGTGGCGCGCAAATCGGCGCGCACGCGCGCCATAACCGTCCGGCCAATCACCTCTCTCGACGCTCGCTCGCTCGTACGCGGAGAGCGCGAGCAGGTCGTCCGCCTCGTCGCCGCGTAGCGACACTGCGGATGCAAGCGGATACACAATGCACTGCGACTGACAGTGATCCGCCGCCGTGAAAGATGTGCCCGTTTCGCGCACGTTTCCCATGCGCTCGTTCTTTTTTCACGTGAAACCCGTGTCCGCCCCCGTGCACCGCCACCCTACGAACCGACACCATTATCTGCCGTCGCCGCCGCTGCCGCCGTCGCCGGGCCGACAACGACGACGACGATGGGCCAGTCGTCGAGCAACACCGGGCACAGTGGTGAGTCTCTTCCCTCCCTCGAATCTCAATATTATCTCACGGCGAATACATACAGCGATTACGTGCGAAATCCCATTTCACCGGGTGTTTTGTACCGCTGTGGTTTTTTTTTTTTTTATTTCATTTCTTCCCCGTTGTATGTACGCACGCGTACGCGCGCACACGCGCGCGCGCGTGTGTATCACATTTTGATTGACATGTGTTAATTGCGACGGCAATCGACCGTCGATGATCGCCGACGACATTCAGCGGCGTCGACGACGATGACAGGACGCGCTCTCGCGAGTCGTCGAGCGCGCGAGAGATCTCTACGAGGAGGTTATGATTATGTGTCCGTGACAGGGATGGCATTCAGTACAGTCCCCTTCCCTCTCTCCTTATGCGCTCTCTTCGGTGGCATCAATGAGATGCCCCGCGCGCGCGTCTCCTTCCAGGAATTTTCCTCTCGACGAGAGAACTGAACCTGATTCGATCTCGCGAAATTGTTTGATCGATCCGACGCACGGATTATTATTGCGCGTGTTGTTTTGAATGAAACGGTGTTTGTTCGAAAAAGGAAAGCGCCGCCGCGTGCGACTTCCTCCCCCGTTTTGATGCGCTTCGCGATGCAAAACGATCCGCGAGGAATAAATTTTTTTAAGTACATTCTTTGGAAATTCAATTTCTCTGTCGTTCTTTCGACAAGCTGCCAAATTTATTTATTTCACACGCGCGAGAGAGAAATGTTAAAGTTTCAAAGTATCGGATAATTTCTCATTACAGACACACTCGCAAGGAAGGGAAAGATTTGAAATAAAAATGATAAACAAACGTGACAGCGTTATAGACTGTCTCGTAATGTAATCCTTTTGACTTTCAAGTGACTTTTTCGCGCGAGCCGCGCGTTTATTTTCTCACACAATAATTAACGTATCTACACAATACACAGTCAAGTTTCAAAGTTTACGCTCGACGCTCGCTTGCTCACTATTACCGACGTATCTTTTATACTGACTCCGTCTGGGAGCGACATCTGCTTTGACAGTGTGTTCTCGGCTCTGTTGGTACATGATGTATAACGTGTGTGTTTGAGCGAGATCTCAAATTTATTAAACAAATACGCACACCGTATAAATTTTTCACCGTTAAATAGTCATTTGCGAGACAAAAACCTTGCAATTACATTTGACCGAAGAGGCGTAATCTGTTCGAATCAGTGCGATGTGACTAATACATCGTGCTTATTTTTTTTTTTTTTAAATAAACAATACCGATGACAATATGAGAATCAGCGCGCGTCAACGAGTCTCGTTGCGACAAAAATTATATTCGCGATTTGCACATCTCTCTGAACGTTTGATGCGACACCACGTTCAGAGAGCGCATAATTCATAACGGATTGCATTTGCCGAGGCAATTTTTCACACGTGCGAAATTACACGCGGACATACGACGCGTTGCCATTTACGTTTCGACGGGGCGTGCGCGCGCGATATTTTGCCAGCTGCATTTTTCGATGCGCACCTTTCGATTCCATTTCGTATATAAGGTTGGGTTTCAAGGCTTGCAAGATGCTCCCGCACCCCCGGGTCGTAGCCACCTATCAGAGATCCCGTCCGTTTCGGCCGTACATGGGCCACAGATGGTATTGTCATATGGCAGACACACAGGACCACGGAAGGCGGTAAAACCGCGATCGCACATCCGCACAAACATCCCAAAGACGACAGACTCGACGCGAGCGCGCGCACCTTTCCAATTATCTAATCGACGTCACGCGAAACCGAGAGATCTTTTCTTCCTGCGAGAAACAGAGAGAGAGAGAGAGTGAGAGTGAGAGTGAGACGCGTGTTTCGACCGGACACTATAATCAAGAACCACACCCCGGTCAATAGAGAGATGACGTTCATTAAGCGAGTCATTTGTGTGTTCGATTCGACGATACAAGACCGCAGAAACTTGCAAGACGCGCGTCACTGCGAGTGACTCCGCGAATCAAGTTCGAAAAAATATCGTTGCAAAGTAAATTCTCTCTCTCTCTCTCAAAAAAAAAAAGAAATTGCTAGATACGTGCACTTCGAGATTCGTGTAGGTAGACGAGTCACTTCCGGGAAAAGAGAGTATTAAACGCGGAAGAAGAAAACCGTAGACGATGCGCCGGTGTGTTCAGGGCAGCGACCCAGTTCTCATATATATTTATACCAAGAAGACGCTATGCCGGCTGCGTGTGGCCATTTTGGAGGCCTAGAGAGAGAGAGATTACATACACGTGCGCGCGCGCGCGACGACGACGACGACGACGACGAGGAGAGAAAGAAGAAGAAGAAAAAGGCGTCTCCGTGCGTCACGAGACGTACTCTCTCTCTCTCTCTCTCTCTGGCGCGGCGAGTCTAATGACTCTGGAAATTCAATTCCGGTTGCGTCGCAGCAACCTACGAGACCTCGTAGCTGCACTTTGAGATAATTTCGTTACACCGGAGATCTATCAGCGTCAACGGAGTCTGCGAGGCACGCGACTCTGCGAGAAGTTGGGACGCATCGAATTTATCTCTCTTTCTCTCTCTCTCTCTCTCTTTCTCTCTCGAGAACGTTAATATATTCAGAAATTATTAATATTACGTCTAAGAGCAAATTACTCTCAGTTATTTGTTACGCATGCCCGTGCAAATAAATCGGTCCTCATCGTGCAGGTCGCGCGATCTATAAATCTCAATCAGAGATGTGGTGTGCTTCCTCCCGTGCGATCGCACACAGCTGAGCAACGTCGATCCGAGAACAACGTTGAGCAACAATGACTTTGCCACGTGAGGTTGGATTTTTCAAAATTTTCTTTTGTGCGAAAGAAAAGAAACCGGGCTTGGCGAAAAACTCGAGGAAGGGAAGGGAGGAAGTAAGAGGGGTGTGGAAAAAACGTCGCCGGCGCTTGAATCGCGCAACCACCGTACAAAGATCGCATTGTGCGACGACGCAAGTCGGAGGAGAATTGTGCTCTCCAACCTGATCAAGCAGCAGGTCCTTTGTGTGCCACCGAAGACTACTGGGTCAGGTAGCCCCGGGGGTAGGACGCGGAGGAAGGAAAACTCGTAAACTATCCATAGAACGAAGCAAAAACCGTCTCTTGAAAAGCGTAACTTCTGTTGACAGGGAAAAAGTCCGCAAAGAGGAAGGAAGGGAGAAGTTTTTTTTTTTTTTTTTTTTTAATTTCCTTCGGAGGAAAATTTTTTTGCGACTTGTATCGCGCAAGATAAACAAAGAGTTTGCCGGAAAAAAAGTTTTGTTCGAAACACACACACACTTAATCTAAAAAAAAAAAAAAAATACAAAGAAATTTACTCGCGCGCGATTAGCAAAGTACTGCAGACGCGCGCGCAGCGCGTCGAAAGCGGAGCGAACTGTAAAATTAATAGCCACGCGAGCGATTGCAGTCGACGGCGTGGCGGGCAATAAGCAAATCTTATTTTTGGGTTTTGCGAGCGTTAAATTCGCCTGCATTTCGTCGCCGCGCACACACGCTCGCTTGCATTAAATCGAAGTGGCGTCCGTTTTCGTACGGCGATCTGTCAATAAACTCCTGCGGCGAGGTTTCGGAACATATATCGCGAAATATAGGTCATTACGGATGATGTTCACGACGGGGGAGGGGGAGGAGAGAGGAGGAAGAAAAAAGCTGCACGCGTTCGCTATTTTTATCACCCTCTCGTCGGTTGATTTACCGAGCGATCGTGATAAACCGCGAAACCGGGAACGATAAAATATCGGCTCTCAACGGCTTCTGTGATTTTTTGAGATTTGTTTCTACTGTAGGCGCGAACGCGTAAGCGCGAAGAGTTTCGGAAGAATTTCGAGTTCTAAACCGCGAATCGATTAATGCGCGAGGCGAGTTGATGATAGAACGGAGGGGAGGGAGAAAAAAATTACGGCGCTCGCTACCACGAACACGGAAATAAATTGTTCACCGGCGTATCTCGACGACGCGGCTCACACGTGCGCGTCTTATTTCCATGTACATACGAACGCGTATGTACGACGGCGATGCGTGCCTCAAAGTCGACGGCGTCGTCGGGCTATTTTTGACGCCAGATACACACGGATCGTAATTATTGCATCCGCTCCCTCATTCTTCTATTCCGGGGGAAATAGAAGAACGAGGGAGGAGAATCTTCTTCCCAGATAATTACGTGTGGAGAAGAGACGAATGTATACGTTATCGATACGTATACAACATTCTCGGGAAATAAATTCCAACATTCTGCGGGCGGGATAATAAATCTCATGGGAGATTGGATGAGATCCAATGGTCGAGAACTGTCAAAAGTGACTTTATCCGTCGATACTACTCGGCATTTCCGCGTTGAGACAAAAAAAATCAACTGTAAAGATTTATCTGCGGAAATTGAGATCGTCGCGGTACATCCTGGAAAACTGAGCCGGCGACACAGCCGAGAGACAACGTCGTCGATTCGGCCGCTATAGCCACCGTCGGTAGTCGGCCACCGTCTATTCCCAGTGCGGTACGTTGCAACACGTAGCGCGCGCGCGACCG